CACCCCGCCAGCATACCACACACCTCACGTGTGCAGAGCATCGAATGAAATACACCCCATGCCACCACTCGATTGAACCTCACAAGATCGTGCTCTTCACGGCCTATCTTATGTGACTTGGTGCGAGACTGAGCCCAAGCAGTACTCCCTCGTGGGGGTGCTCGTGGTGGTGCTCGTGGTGGTCCTCGTGATGCTGCTCGTCGTCCGTTTCTCTCTCAGTCGCTCTCTCCTCATTTGGGCGAACAGCATTCCTCCTTTGAAGGAGACCATCAGACAGGTGACGACGATTGAAAGGACGTAGAGGACGAGTGTACTGAGGTCCGACTGATCCACCGGCATGGACATGAAGGTAATGATGGCGATAGGTATCTCTCCCAGCGAGACGATAAAAGTAATGAGATGGAATCTCACGGACAATTCCATCAGAGGCCGCGCACGCCAGTGGGCATTGAGCGCAATGCAGTCGCAGAGAGAGAGGACGAAGATGATGACGGATTGCCAGAGGAGCCCACGAGTGACAAGGTCAACACCGACGGCAAGATCGGAAGTCCAATCGAGCATCACGAGGAAAAACAGCAAGAGTTTGACTGATCTCTCCTGACAAATGGGATGACATACATGCACACAGGCAGAGAAAGAGAGAGTCGTTGGTGATATAAGCGAAGAAAGTCCGCGAGTGGCTTACCACTGCGACGGCGCTGCCTTTGCAGGAACACGACTGAGCGAGTCTTTGATACGCAATCGAGTCTGCATATCGAAGAGGTGAAAACTTTTGGCGCGAATATGCTGAATGATATGCGGACGAGGAATGCAACACCGGTCGGCCCGAGGAGAGGGGGGACTCGTTGGGACCTTAAATGACCTTGGGACAAAACAGATTAAAACGGTGCATCCTCCGCACCAAATCGCCCCGATGTACCACAGAAACGTGAACAGACCTATTCACAAGAGGTATACCCAGCCGATGCATGCGAGATTGGCTCATTGTCCCTGTCCATTGTTGTTTCTTACGTCCGATTGGCGCAATGTATAGAGCGAAGCTGCCCAGTCCGACGGAGACGATGCAGGCGATATTGACAAGCACCATTTCAAGGACGCTGCGTGGAGGCTGGAAATGACCCAGGCATTTAAACGCGAGGATCAATGTCGGCCAGAGATATCGACAGGCAATGTCGAACCACCAATAAAGCAGTCTTTCGGAGCCGATGAGATCCGCGGTGACGATGCAGTAGGCATAGTTGACAGCACCCGCGAGGACAATATCGATGAGGGAGTTGACGGGAGTGTCCCTCAGCCACTGAACAGAACAAAAGGGAGAACGAAGCAGGACATAGATCTCATCGTTTTCTTGGTTGACTGAACTGACTGACCAGTTTTATCGGACCGCAGATCTCGATAGTCCAAAATCCCCATTCCTCAGGCAGAGTGCGGATCTCAACCGGCACACTGTCATCGGCAGCTTTGGTTGGTAAGCAAGGTGGAAGAGGCTGGGTGTCTTCCGTGATCCGACGACTTGAGCCGGTAGGTGTCAGCGAAAGGGGACTGTCGGCACTCGGACCCTTCACAGGGATGGCCGACAGGGAGCGGGACGGACGGATGGTCGACAGGGAGCAGGACGGACTGCCGGTGTACAAACTGCCACTGCCGCTACCACCTCGAGGCAGTTTCATCGTCACTCATCTGAGGAAGGAGCCGTGGGCGAGGGAAGAAGAACAGCCTACCCTGCCCCAGAGTCCTAGTGTTTCACGGAGCCAAGTGTGTTGACGTGAATTAATTAATTCATTCATTCATTCATTCATTCATTTGCGTCTGTGTGTGACATACGTTAACTCATAGCGCAACGGCAGGCAGAGTCTGTCGGTCTCTCATGAAACGAACTGCGTCAACGTCGACCAACCCTCATTCATTTGCGTCTCCTATGAACGCATGAAAATGCGTCCATGGAATGAAATTTCCCTCCTCCGTCGGGCTGGCGGGACTCGCTACGCTTTCGCCGTTCCCGAAATGCATACAAAGCCCCCAAGCTCGCATGCAAGCCCCCGCAAGGGAACCGAAGGAAGTGCTAGCTTGGCCCCAATTACGGACAAACAAACAACAAACAAACAAAGGAACACTTTGTTTCGTAAGAGCGTGCCACGCTCGTGAAACTCGCGAGTCCCGAAACGATATAGCAGCCCTGCAAAAACCAGGGCGGGTGTCCAACACACCGAGGTTTCCCTTGGCTACCCCTGGATAAAAAGGCCTGTACAGAATAGGTAAATACATGATACAATTCTGCAAAGCGGTGACGCTGCATCACAACACGACACGACACAACGTGACATAACAAGACATGACATCACACGACACGACACGATGACATTGCACGGTGACATAACATAACACGACACGACACAACATAACAAAACACCTAGCATGTCCAAATTCGAGTGGCCTTCGAGTGGTGAGGGCTAGACCAGGTAGGTGCGCTCCATGGGGCATTCACGGCACCCTCAGCTGTAGCTGTGTTCTAGACGTGTGCGTGCGTGTACGGATATGTGTAGACGTATTTGTGCGGCGATGAGGAACGAAACGAATTTATTTGCTTCTCTGACTACATCATAAAAACACGAATCCACTGTACACGACCGAGACCAGCGCTAGTCGACTAGTTTATCGACCAACAATACACCCAGCCACCCATCAACCACCCAAACACGGGATGATCCGTCGCATTGCCATGCTAGCTGGGGTCGACGAAATTGAGCGTCGTGGGCATTAATTTCACTTGCAAGTGTGAGGGGTTTTGTTCATCTTTCCGAGTCTCTTTCTTCACTGTCCAGCTCACTAATCATCTCTTCCCGCTTCTCCCTAATCCACTGTGCCTTTGCATGCATTCCCCGCAGCCCTCGCCACACAAAGAATGGCAGGCTCGCTATCCTCCACCCAGCCCAACCCAAGAACCGCATCTCAACTTGCTTCTCGCACCGCAAGTCGTACGAAGCAGTCGCACCATCACCCGACACGTGAATGTGGTCTTCCTGGGAGAGAAAGACGTATGCCACGGGGCGGTCGGCCTCAACAACAGGTACCACGTACGGCCCTTCTGTGTAGTGCCTCTGGTGCGCCACCCCCATGCCACTCAGCACCGTGCCCAGCTCGGCAACGAGCGATTGCGGAAGAGAGTAAGTCAGATCCACTCGCTGACAGGGAGGCACCGGGGGCTCGGGCGGGGCATCGCGATCAGTAGAGGGCATCGATGGAACGCGGAAGAAATGTTCGTCCTCATGTCTTGTGGGACTGGGCGTCTGAGTTTCATTGCGTGGCGGTGAGGTGACAGCGTCGGGTACATCTTTGGGCTGGATGGCGATCGGCCGTGGGATGGTCCAGAGTGGCAGCCTGGGAAAATGGCGACTCATGAACTGCTGAACCACCTGACAGAGAGGCAAACATAGGCGAAGTGAGCACGGAAAGAGATCGTCGATTCCGTCATATCTCGCTTTGACCTGTTGCTGTTTGTTATCGAGGCTCTCCCACAGCTGTGGATGTCGCTCCCTCAGTTGTCTGTCGTCGTCCAGCAGCTCAGAGACTCCGCAGCACACGGGCGTAAGGAATCCCTCAAGTGAAGGGAATGACGATGCCTCGCGAGTTTTGATGCGCTCCTCTACGTGGTACGAATGTGGGTACAGACAAATCTGAAGACCCACACGAAAACAGGTGCAAGCCGCTCGTTCTGTGATATCCGGTGCATCGTTCCCCCACCATTGAGTAAGCCGTTGACAGAACTTCGTCTGCCCGCATCTGCTCCCGGTCAAGCAGCGTCAGCACTCTGCCGATCAGCACTCGCTGCAGCCCTTCCAGCCCACCCACATTCTCCACATTCGACACCCGCGGATCGAGATCATGCGACCGTGTCCATCTTTGCGGGAGCCGCCTCATCGAGCGGAACAGCCGCATCACTTGCTGCCCGTCCAGTGCATCACCGCCGTCTGCCACCAGTGGCCCCACTTCTTTCAGTACATCAGGCACCAGAGAGGAGAGCTCCGCTGCTGTTTTGACACAGCCCATAAGGTCGCCGAAAGCAGCAAAAATGTCTACGAGGCATCCCAGAGGGGGGCCGTCTATAGTAGACAGCGCCGATGAGCCGTCTTCGAGAGGCATCGTTCGATCAGCCAGCCGCCACGGGGAGTCCCCCGGAGGACCGGGTGTGTTCTCGCGGTTGCCACCGTCTTCTAAGCGCCTGAGCGTCTCCCTGGCGATTGTATGCCACGTCAGTGCATGTGTGACCTCGAGACTGCCGAGGGCCGCTGCGCACTTTGCAAACAGGGGCCAGCCGAGAGACCCGAAGTCAATCTTGTCACAATACAGCGACTGACAGCATCAGACAAGGCATCAATCACTCCTGATATGGTCATCATATGGTCACTCTCCTTTTTGTATCATCCTCACGCACCGTCAGTTTTTCGTGCGTTATGCCTAGCCGCGCGCAGGAGATCGCGAGCTCTGCAACCTGGGTGCCACTCAGCTGTTCAGCTCGATGTGGAAGATGGCTCCTCAGGCGGTGCACCAGCCCCGGCACAATCAGGTGGAACCGGGCATAGGCAAACGCAATGAGGGCCAACTCCTCTGCACTGAACTCTGATTCCAACACCACCACAGCACACGAACTGTTTGCATTGCCTGGTGGGGATTCGTGGGCGGCTTACGTGGCAACTTTTGCGTGACAGTGTCTGCCGCCTTGATGAAAAGCACATCGTGTCTGATACCCACGAGGCCGAATGACATGAGCAGCGAGGCCAGCTCGTGCGTCTTGAAGGTGCCCAATAGCACCACCGATGCCGCCGCCAAACGACCTGATACATGGAGAGACCCCCGATAATTACAGCACATTCAATCGCCTGTGTTTACTTCACCGACCAAAAAGGTTCTGATCGGCGAGATACAGCCGCGCATATGCTAGTGCCACAAGCGTAAGATCCGCCGCAGCAGCCGAGGCGATCTTGAGGGAGAAGGCGATGGCTAGGGCAGCGTAGAGGGGCGCATACAGCGCTCTGTGCTCCGAGAAAACATAGGCTGCAGCGGCGATCTCGCCTGCCCTCATTTGGTGGCACTGCAGGGCGATCTGTTTGCCCACCGCCAAGAGCAGCTCCTCGTCCAGGGGGGAGTCGCGCCGGGCTGCTTGGGTGTGCGCCGGCAGGAAGGCCTCGAAGGCCTTGAGAACGCGCAGGCAGTCCTTTGGATCCATGGACTCGACTCGCTCCTTGAGCAAGGACGACAGCTGGCGCCACACTGCCGGCGTTGCAACCCCTATCTGCGACGCACGAAGGGCATAGTGACCTGCATTCATGCACCCCAACACGACACACACAGATCAAAAACGAGAGAGTCTGTGGCTTGCTGTGAGTACCCAGGTTCTTCACTGACAGCTGGGGGAGGGACGCCGCCGCAGCGTCTGAATAGTCAGACGGGATCTGGTCGTGGACTGTTGATATGGACCGATGGCAATAAATCATACAGCGCTTCGCTGGCAACGTGACGAGCAGCCTCAGACAGCCCATCGCGTGCGCCTTTTCCAGCTGATCATGGGTCTTTTTCTGCAAGCTATGATCTCGCGTTCGCTCTCGCATAGATCTCGGTCTCTTTCGCGTTTTTTCCCTGAAAGGCTTCGAGTGTACCAAGGAAGGCGCCTTCTGCAGGTTCCTGATGGTTTTCATCCATGTGATTTGATATCATAGTGCCGATGAAGCTGAAGCGGTTTCTGCTGCGGTATTACCCGCCTGGGATCATCCTCGAGTATGAACGCAGCAGCGGTCAGCTGGAGAGCAAGGCCATCGACCTGCTGACTCTCAAAGAGGACTCAGACACGGACGCACTTGCGTCGCACATCATCCGTGAGGAGCCCCTGCTGCGCGAGAGCCACCATCTGCTGCTGTCGAGGCTGATCAGGAAGCTCGCCGCCAAGTGTGAGGACCACCTCAGCCAACGGTACTACCTCTACCGCACGCTAAGGGCGCATATACTGCCGCTCACCAACTGTGCATTCAACAAGGATGGCTCCAAGTTTATCACTGGTGAGTGAGTGGTCGGGGTGTGGGGTGAAACGGAGAGGGCAGTCGGGTGGAGTTGGGCCTCTTCTGTGCCTGTCTGTGTATGTCTGTGTAGGTTCCTATGACCGGACGTGTCGCGTGTGGGACACCAACACAGGCGACGAGGTGCTGGCCCTCGAGGGGTCCAAGAACGTCGTCTATGCACTGGCATTCAACAATCCGTTTGGCGACAAAATAGCTACCGTACGTACGCAGGGAGGGAGAGAGGGAGGGAGGGAGGGAGGGAGGGACGACAGACAAAGCACCGTGACCGACAAGTGGCTCTTACGTTGTGGTGGTGGTGCAGGGTTCGTTTGACAAGACAGCCCGGCTGTGGGACAGCACCACCGGGCGATGTTTGCACATCATGCGGGGTCATGAGGCGGAGATAGTCTGTGTGGCATTCAACCCACAGGTTAGTACGCCCTCGCCCCACATGTGCACGGCCAGCGTCGATGAATGGGTGCGTTGTAAATGGTGGTATGTTGATGTTGGCGTTTGCAGGGCACTCGCCTGGCGACGGGCTCGATGGATCACCGGGCCGTCTTGTGGGACGTCGAGACCAACACGCAGCTAGCTGTGCTGCAGGCAAGCCCGACCAGACCAACTGAACAATGGGCAGCAGGTCTCATATCTGTTTTTCCTGTGATGTGCTGAACGTGAACAGGGTCACCAGGCAGAGATAGTGAGTGTGCATTTCAACACCGACGGCGACAAGATCGTCACGGGCTCCTTCGACATGACCGCCAAAATGTGGGACGTCGAGACTGGCAAATGCATTCACACACTCAAGGGTGAGTGAGTGACCACCCCACCGCCGCCCACATCACGGCTCATGAGCAAAGCCTCATGAGTGTGTGTATCTGTGGATGATGAGCAGGTCACACGGGGGAGATTTCGACGACTCAGTTCGACTGGACGGGCGATTACTGCATCACTGGATCGATAGACAAGTGAGCCGAGTGACAGCGGGGATAGCGTGATAAGCGAACGGGCCCGTATGTCTACCTATGTTTGTGCATCGATCAGGACGTGTCGGTTGTGGGACACGGGCAGCGGTGCATGCATGGACACGTTCCGCGGCCATACCGACGAGGTCCTCGACTGTGCCTTCAACAATGTCGGCAACAAAATCGTCACCGCATCGGCGGACGCCACTGCACGGGTAAGGAAGCAGGCAGGGAGTCAGTGGGTGGTTATTGGGTCACAGACGCACCGGCCGAAACATTGCATGGTCCATAAAATGGGTCCGCCTACAGGTGTACAATGTCGCGACAGCTCAGTGCTCGGCCATCATGGTTGGACACGACAAGGAAATATCAAAAGTGAGAAAAGACCGAACGGCTCACTGCATGCTATCGCCTATCGTGTTGTCTGCGTATGGGGTGCAGTGTGCGTTTTCGCCCAACGGCCACCGCGTGCTGACGGCGTCCAGCGACACCACGTGCCGCCTGTGGTCCGTCGACACGGGCGACTGCATACAAGTTTTGCAGGTGAGTGAGCATCAGCCAAACCATGGCAGGCATACGCGGGATGGTGCGTGCACATTGTATGTGTATGTGTCAGGGTCACACAGATGAGGTGTTTTCGTGTGCCTTCAACTACGAGGGGGACACCCTCATCACAGCCTCAAAAGACAACTCATGCAAAGTCTGGTCAGTCAGTCTATCGATTTTATCGATGTCTTACGTTTCGGATCCCTGACTGGTTTGCAGGAAGGAGTGCGAGGCATCGGCGCCGCTCGACGCCCACAACGACAAGCAGATAGATACATAGCATGGCCTGCCTTGCCCCCTGTTCCCTCCATGTGCACTCATCTTTTGTACAGCGAGCAAGTGACTGACTAGCCACGTGCATTTGTGTGTATGTATGTTGTACTGTTTTACAAGCCTGCCTACAAATCCGCAGGATTTTACGGCAGGCAAGAATCTATTTTTACTGGCTACTTAGGACCGTCATGAATGTGAAAATATGGCCCGTGTGTGACTCGCTTTTTCTCCAACTTTCCTGTCTTTCAGCGACACGGCGCGTGTGATGTCCTCACCTCGTCCCCTGCCCCTTCAGGCTTCAGCCGCGCCGACTACTCTTCAACCCACACAGCGGGACGAGACGCCCAAAGTAAACGCCCACAGCACCCGGAGTGGCCTTTTTCATTGCCTTTATTCATTCAGCCGCAATTTCAGGCTTTTTCTGTCCCTTCACGACACGACACCCAAGATACTCTTTATTCTCCTTGCTGTCTCTCGTTTGTTGTTTTGAGGAATATCGATGAAACAACGAGAGAAAGCATACGGTCTGCCTCCTCCATGTGTATGTACACACGAGTCGGCTTAGCGCACAGCTATGGTTTAAGCAGGTCTTGGCCTTTTGTGTGGACACAACACGTTCAAATCCTTGACTCGTCTGACACTTCAAATCCTTCGTTCAAACCTTTGGAGGCGGCGAAATGGAGAGGGGCCTTTCATAGGTAAAACAAGCCTAAAAACAGTATTTCCTCCCCCCGGGCGTCTCTTTTTTGCTTTTTTCCGGCATTTTGAATACTTCGAATATTTTAAAAATCGCTCGGGAGAGCCTTCAGGGGTGATAAGGCTCTAAAGTGCCCATGTGGTTCATGTCTTCAGTGTGAGGTGTGTCTTTCTTCTGCCATCCATTTGTTCTGTCCTTCTCAGACCCATGCCTGTCGGCACGCGCCCGACTTCATGCGCTGAATTTAATGAGGTTTAGGGCAGCTGTGTAGCGACTGACCGACGTGGTTTTTGTAATGAAGTGCTGCTTCCGCTTCCCCGCCTCGTTGACGATTCCGACTCCAGATCTTTCTTCCGTGAATGCCAATTCCGACTCCCTGTAGATGTTCCCCGGAGCGGCTGCGTCGGTCGTTTGTCTGTTGTGTGCGTTGTCAGCTGTCCAAGTGCAACGACTTGCCGGGTTCGCGTCGCCTTGGCCTGTTGGCAGAAACCTCGTGGGACAAAGCAGGGCGACTTCTTCGGCGGTGCACCGACAGCCGACACGCCTGGTGGGCTGATGGGAAGATGCAGCCATCTGGCACAAGTGATGTGCACCTCTCTCTTTGTGTGTCTGTGTCCGGTGTGTTCGTCAGTGGTCAGCAGGCGGCAAGTCAGAGGAAGATCAACAGCTGGTACACAGAAACACTCTGGCACCAGGAGGGGACTGCTGGTCACCTGGGCTCTGTCTGTGAGTGAGTGCAGGAGACGGTTATCGCCGCTCGCAAGAAAGAGCTCGACGAGGACTTAGCTGTCAGTGACAAAAATCTGAAGTGGTTTCAAAACGAACTGGACACGCTCCACATCGACTTTCCGAACCCGTCCAAGTTCGTCCTCACTGAGTTACGGCCTTACTTAGAGAAGGAGGTCGCAAGGCGCCAGAAGGAGCGGGAGAGGCTGATTGCCAAACGTAAGTGATCCCGAACTCGACCAAGGCTGGCTGGGCACAGCGGGATTAACGCAGCGTTTCATTGATTTCTGGTTGACCTTTTCGCCATCAGACGAGGAATGGCTGCAGAAGGTCCGAGAGCACGGCCTCCCTCACGGTGCGCACACGAACCGGCTGGCAGCTGGGCAACGGCACGCGAACATTCGTGTCTTTTGTGTGTGTGCGTACGTTTTGCGTGCTTCATCAGCAGAGGAGCGCAAGGACGAGCCAGAAACAGTCGAGTCGCTCCGAAAGAGAGTGCGGGAGTTGGAGGAGACCGTTCGTTCGATGGAGCGGGCCCAGAGGGAGCTAGCGGTGTGGGAGAGGAGCTGGCTGGCCCGGTACTACAGGGGAAAGCTGAAAATTGGCTGTGCCCTGACCCTATTGTTGTTGCGCGGTCTCTCTCTCTTTGCGTTCGTGTGTGTATGGGTTTTTATTGCGTGGTTTTTCCGTTTTTGTTTTCTGTGCCTCGTGAGCAATACACACACATGGATGAGACACGCGTGTGCAAGCTGATCCAATCATGATCGCCTCACCTGATTCATGTGCTGCACGAATGTCTCAAGGATCAATCCCCTGTACTTTTCAGCGAAGGGAGACCGTCGGGCTAACAGTCATTTTCTATTTGGTCCGTGTCTTGGTGCCGACCTTTATTGGACAGGTCGACAAGGGCACTCCAGCCATTCATTCAGATGAATGATGTCGTTCTATGCCCCGAGCTGTAGCTCACAATAAATATCTCTGGCTGTTAACACATCCAGCGTGCATCGGATTGGCGTTTTCACACTTGTGTCTCGAGCTGTGAATGTAAGCGAGCCGATAAAGATGGTCCCTTTCACAACTTTGGATAAGTATGACAGCAGTGCTCACACTGGGTGTCTAGATGGGCCGATATGATGGCGTGAGTCCTAGAGACATGGAATGAAAGAGCGGAGAAGCAGTCAATCTCATTCACCGACTCACTCACTGTCTTGGTGAGAATCGATCCAAGACAGTCGTCGTGGATTCTCACCAAGACAGTCGTCGTGGAGGCTCTGACCTTTCTGCACATTTGTTTGTCCACCTCCCTTGAGCGCTGCTTCGGTCCCCCAGTATTCCACCACCTGACTTCAACTTCCTTCCTTCGTGCTGGCGATGAGGATGACTGCTCGGTGCACCTTCGCGAGGGTGGTTGACAACCATGATTATTCCTTGTGGTTGGCCTTTGTGGCTGGGTCATTCCGTCTTACACCATAAATTATTCGATAAGACACAGAAACTCGGATAGAAAAGACAAATGATTGGTCTAACTCGACACCCAAGCATAATTATGCCCTTATTTGCTTTGTGTACTGCTGATGTCTGCTTTCCATCGGCCTGCCTCAGACCGCTCACAAATCGACCACCTGCTGTTCACTCCACAAGACGAGCAAAAGACAGGTAGCGTGTGTCTCCACTGTTAGACCCGCTTGACAGCAGGATAGACCGTATCCCCCTTCATTGGAGGGGTGTGAATGCTCAGACGATACTTGCCAATACACCCCGGATCAAAGGTTGAAACAATGATAGTTGTTTCACCAGCCTGCGACAGAAGACCGAGAACTGAAGCATGAAAGTCCGTCAGTGGCAAATCTGTTGTCTATCACCGCTAGTTTGACATTAGTGAGCATCATCGAATTTGGATTAAAACTTTTTCTGCAGCGCTGCTCATTGTTGATGTAGAGCCCCACCGTATATTCCTGAAAATATCAATTGCGAGTTCTCTGGACATCCCCTTCTGGTGATGTTCGAGCGTGTATATTTCTCCCACCTGATGAGACTCTAGTAGAATGACTGATTCGACAGTCTCTACACAGTACACAGTATACTTCGGGTTCGTGACAAACGAGGAATAGTAGCGCTGCCCTCCTGGGAAGTCGCATTCAATTCATTCTTTCCATGATTGTTCCAATCCTTGTTTGGGCCTCCACACCTGCTGTCTCCGGCGTCCATTCTCCATCGTGGTACTGTGATACCCATCCCTCCGGAATGACAGGTGGCAATTCCTTGAGGGTGACCTTGACATTGGAGAAGACTGACAGGGTGAAGTTAAAGTCCTCCTGATACGACAAGGACGAGGTCATGGGAGTCCGAGACAGTCGTGGAGGCTCTGACCTTTCTGTTCATTTGTCCGACGACGACGTTGTATTTGAGGTGGACATCTTCACTTGAGCGCTGTTTTAGTCCCTCAGTTTTCCACCACCTGAGCTTCCACTTGTCAAGCCGCATCATTGAATCCGAACAGTAGTTTAACGTCGTATTCTTCTTTCGACGATCGGACTCATTCAGCACATGGGCCCGCTCGTTGCAGGATAGCACTCTATCGGCACCCTCGTACACCTGCGTTGTGATACCAATTTTCTTTTCTTTGGCGTCCTTCACATTTTTTGAGGCCGTGACGTGCCGATACAGCTGAGACGACAGAGAAAAGGTCAGAAATCAATGGCGGGCGAAGGACACTTTTTCTACCTGGATCCACACTTCCACTTGCTCAGTCGCCAGGTCAGTGCTGGAGGGATGGAATTCGAGGACGAATTGCGGGCTAAATGCTGAGATTTTCCTTGCACTGCTCACAAACGCTTCTTGTCCAGTCACATTGAACCTGGTGTAAAGGCGACACGGAAGGAAAGCGCTGCACATAATTTGCTCCTAACCATAATTTGCTCCGAACCGTGAGTGTTTTTCAACTCGATGAGCGAAGCGAGAAGGATCATATGCTATATAAAGCGACTGCGTTCCATCCGATACACCCATCAAATAGGCACATAACATCGTTAGATTCGTCATTTTGTTGCTTGTGTGGTGTCGTAAGTTCCTACCTCAAAATTCTCTGCGACTTCATGAAACTCCATCCAGAACCGCCCATCCGATCTCTTCCGATCCGCAGGTATTGACTCGTCATCCGATTCACGAGGCGCTACCTGTTTCAACAGGCAAATAGACAATCAACGAGAACGATACAGCTTGCGTCTCAGCACCGCTTCGGGGTCATAATTGAGCTGTCTCCTCATGCTCGCCGTCCATGACTCGGTACAACGTGGTGAGAACCGGCCTTTCCAGCGGTCTTCACGCCATGGATTTCGAATGAACAGCAGTCGATGCCCCCCTGCTTCGGCCGCTTCAAGCACTGAGTATGCATGACAACTCACAAGCCCTGCATATATATGGCACGATGGTTTCCTTAAGGTAAGAGCACTTCGGGATCATTTGGGCTACCTGTCTTTTTGCTCCTCGTCTCCGTTCCTCCATCTTCTTTGCGCGTTCCAAGACAGGCTACTGCCTTTCGATCGCGCAGCTGCGGGTAGATGAACTCCCACAGGTGGCCTATGTCTTTGCTCTTGGAGCGGACTTCGTCGAGTTCGATCTTTTCCGAGCTCCATCCAGAGATCATGTACAGATTGTCTGGAGCAAATGAGCCTTGAATCGCATCGTATCCACCCATCGTCTTGGCATATGCCTGACGAGAGACGTCAAGCAGGACAAAATGAAGTGCGAACGTTGGTATCTGCCACCTTCTCAATGACGGTAACCTGAAAAAGAAGGAAGAAAAGAAGGAAGGTCTTTGGGCTAGAAGGAATTTTAAATAGCATATTTGATAACCCATGTCTCTCCAGGAATGACTGAGGCTCCGGTGAGTCGCACTTCAGGCCTGTTGGTCAGCGTCGGAATGAGGTCGTCGATGACAACTTTGCGAGCTCCCCCATTGAAATACAATCGGCATATGTACTTCCCCTCGGGACTTATCACTGGCATCTCGGTGTCGGCAGCCTTTTCTTTTGGGTAGATAGACTTCCTGAGGAAGGGCACGCCGGTCTTTTCTTCCCAATAAGCCAGCGCAGCCAGCGAATTGAGGAAAGCACAGTCGCCCAGGCGTCCCTGCTTGACGCAGTCGCTGGAAAAAGACTCCTTCGCCATACAGCATTGCTTGTCACCACTGATCGAGTCCTGAGTCTTAGGGAAAGCTTTCCATTTCTCCACATCGGGATGGAACGCTTCGGGGAAACGCCGAAACTGGTCCAGCCCCACTGCAAAAACCTCCTTCTGGCGGGTGCTCAAAGAGAAAATTCCTGTCGGGTCCTCGTACAATTGTGAGCGGCTGTGGTGCTTCACAAGCAGGTCTGAATCCTTCTCTTGCCAGAGAGGGAACGAGTGCCCGCTGATCGCAGCCCCCGCTTCAAGTATCTCCTTCTCCGTCTTCGGCTTGCGCAACCAGCTTGGGACGACGACAAAGCCAGCTTCCACCTGCGGAGAGACAGGCGCCTCCTCAAGAAGCTTTTGGATTCTGAAAGCCTTGTCCTCCCTCTCTTTTTTCAATTCTTGATCAGCAGCTGTGATTGGCCGCCCCTTCAGGATCAAGCCGGCTTCTGGATCCGTCACCTCCAGTGCTCGCGCTAGCTGCCGCAACACACAACACAAGTAGCGCAGGTGAGTGGGTCCATTTCCCTTCCCGATTCTCATCCGTCGCCTGTCATGCCCACCTGGCGTAAAAGTGCTTTTTGTCAAGGGGAACGCCAATGGAAGCGAACTGCGGGATCGCTTTCAGGCCATATCCATCGGATATAGGCTGCATGATGGACATCACTTCGGCTTGCAACCAAGACGAAAGCAGCCGTTTCATGTTGACGTCAGATTTCTCACGGCACAGATCATGGGGTGTCCGCCCTCTGTGCAGAGGTATAACCGGACACATATCCACGGGCAGAGATGCGCAATTCTCACGTTATCCTTGGCTTGAAGAGCGTCTCCTCCAAATCTCGAGAGAAAGATCTGCATAATTGTGACTCGCTCTCTTGAAACCGCCAGATGGTAGGCCTTTTGTCCATCCTGTGAGCCATCTCAAGAAGGGGGTTGCATGACAAATGTGTTTTCTTGTTGTCGTGATTGCTGTACCTTCCTTGAACATTGGACTCGCTCCTTGGAGGCCAAAGACGCGACCACGCGGTCTTCGACTTCATCGCATCCGATGGCGATGTGTAGAGGCAGCAAGCCGTCCTAAATACGTCAATGTGTACCAGCGATACCGTCGAGTAATTCTCTGTTCACTTACTTCGTCCACAGCATCCAGCAGCTGGGGGCATGCTTTTTCTTCCGAAGCCTTCACCAGCATCCTGATGCATTCATTTCTCCCGCACTCCGCAGCCAGATGAAGAGCCGTCCGACTGGCCTGAGCTTGAAATGCAGGAAAACCGGTTGTTTGTGATCGTTGCGTGTATCAGCGTGCTTACACTGTCTCGCAGCAGTAGTGCGTCTCTGTCGACAATTTTCAGCAGCTCGTCCAGCCCTGACAGATTGCCGAAGGCAGCAGCTTGGTGTAGGGGCGTTTGCTTCTGCAAAGATAAGCAACATGCGTATAATGTCTTGTATCATCATACTATCATGTGTCGACCCACGGACAGACCCATATTGTGTCTTGGCATTTGACGTCCTCGCTCGAGCATAATGCCGAAACGATGTCACGACTTGCTGCTTTAGCAGCGTGATGTAACGCGATGCGCCCATCCTGACACAAATTCAACACGGAGAGGAAGGTGGTCGGTAAACTCTCCACTCCGTACGTCTTCCTCACTCTGTCTCTTGCAGTAATGACATGTGATGCCTTCTTCTCGTGAAGTAGGCCGACCATACGAAGCACAGTATCTTTGCCACCAGCATAAGCAAAGGAAGCACATATTGCACTTGCCAGAACGGTGCGTCCAATCTGTATCAGGGTAAGGGAAGCTTATGTCGCAACCTATTCACAACAAGTATCTTGTTCACCTCGTCAACAGTTGCGATTGCTGTATTTGCACTGCCCAGTGCAGCAGCATTGAGCATGACATTGACGTGACTCCATTTACCCTTTGCACATCCGTAGTGGAGTGCGCTCAGCCCCACGCCGCCTTTGTGGATGATGGTCCGCGGATCGGCGAGCAGGCGCGTGATCTCGATGCAGTCATAAAAGATAGACAAGTGCAGGGGAGTGAACCCGTCCTGTGGCCATCACTCCGGTGCAAAACAGAAGAATAATATCACATCGGTACAAAACACTTCTCTTGTTTCGACCTCGTCTTCCATCAGGGTAACATCGGTGTTGAGCTTTGCAGCCTCGGCGAGGCTCCTGACCAGTGCCGGTTGACGATAGACGGCAGCACAGTGTACACAGTTTTGTCCAGCTTTGTCTCTGATCGTCAGTGTGGATGGATCAGCAGCACTGACGACAAGAGGCGCCACTATCATATCACCCGTCTGAGCGACTGTGTGCAGCGGGGTCTTGAAAACCTGGAAACAGGGGAAACAAATGATAACAACCCCTCAATGCGCTTCCGTCGCTCACGTCATCTTGTTTGGCGATGTGGTGCTTGAGGTCGAAGGACAACAAGGCAGAAACGACTTCTCCTCGGCCCATTCTCACTGCCCAATGAAGCAGACTCCGATTACCATGGATGACAGCCGTGTCAATGAGCTGACGCAAGTCATTTCGCTGGTCCGGCCTGTCCTGGTAGCCGATGAGACACTTCTTGGTAGCCTCAGCAAACGAGACAGTCACGCCACCCTTGTCCGATATCTCCAGCACGTAGCCCAATATGAGATCTGCAGCTTCAATTCCCTCGCTCGACATTATACGGGGCGGGTTGCGTTCGGTCGTCTTTAGGGCACGCCGATGGTAGAACGTGTGTCCAGTGTCCTTGTCGTTCGCTCTCCCCTCCAAGTTGAGCGCGGGGGGCGCTGGGGGCGGGTGCAAGCTCGAGCCGCTTTTGACACTCGCCTCTTTCTTTCCGGTTTTAATAGATACTGCCTCCGACACTCGCTTTCGACACTCGCCTCTACGGTCTATACGTTTGGGGGAAAAATCCCATCGAACTCGGTTGTCTGACCGAACCTCCCCAAGTCACCATGTCGCAGAGTCTCCCGGTCGTCGACCCTATTGACCCACAGAAACTAAGATTTGAAGAGAAGCAGTGGCTTGGTGGCGGAGGCGTTGGAGATGTCTCTGACCACACGCACATAAACTACGGAAGCACGCATCTGTCTGCACATGCATATGCGTGTAGGTTTACGAGGGAACGTGGGAGGTTTCGCAAGGGAAGTGTCAACAAGTAGCGATCAAGAGGGTCAGAGGCAGTATGATCCAGAGACTTGGCGAAGAGGTGCATGAAGGAAAAGGCGCGCGGTCAATAGGTGTGTCCCTTTTCTTTTGAGGCGGTCAAAGAGAAGATCAAGCATCAAATCAAGCTTCTTGCTGCGCTGCCCCGGCACAAGCGGCTTCTAAAGTTCATTGGGGCAACTGCGGATGACATTCCTCTCATTGTCACAGGTGTGAACGACAATCACGGCAGTTGTAATTGCCTATTGACTTTAGCTATGGAATGCTTGTTCAGAGCTCGGGGTCAAGAAAGACCTAAGTCACGTCTTGCGAGATCTGGAGGCAAAGAAACAACTCGACGACGCAACCCGAATGAAGTTTGCAGTTCAGGTGCACCGCTTCAAACGTCCAGCATCCACACCCCTCATCTTCTCTGAGGTGGCTGTTCTCTCTGGCCTGTCCTTTGTTCTTCAGATTTGTGAGGGCATCCATTACCTTCATTCATGGAACATTGTTCACAGAGACCTGAAGCCTGAAAATATACTGGTGCAACCACCGATCGGTGGCTGCGCGTATCTGTGGATGTCTCTGCTGTCTCCATTGAATGCGCAGCTGGATGGTGAGTACAACATTAAGATCTCGGACTTTGACTTCAGCCTAGAGATCATAGGGAGTCATCATTCCGTCATCGAAGGAAAGAATAACAATATGGATCAATGGGTAATGCAGAATGTAAGGAGTCGAGTGCTTTTGCAGGTGCTGGGACCTTGCATTATACTCCTCCTGAAGGCTTTGGTTCCACACGTGGGCAAAGACGTCGCAACAATGTGCAATTACCGAAGTTGTGGTATTCGTGTGTGATACTTGTAGCGGGAGTCAGCAAGCGGGTAACACTGAAGTACGATATATGGCCACTTGGCTGCATATTGAGTAGAGTGTTTGGAGGTCAGCGGCAATCCCTCAGACTTGGCACCAACAAATCATTATTGCTGTATATAGGTCCAAAAAATGTCCCATTTGCCGACCTGAAGCCAACGGAGATAGAGAAAGCAGTCTACCACGAGAGACGAGTAAGAAGACAATTGTATCTGGCGAAGACTCTCGTCTTTTCGCAACACAGATACCCTCCATTCCATCCGGGCTCCCATCAAACATTCGACAAGCGATTGAGGTCTTACCAGCGAGCGACAGAATCACTATGTCTATTCTAGAGGGACATACTGATTCTTTTCTGCAGAAGTGCTTCGCATGGGCACCTGAAGAGCGACCGACTGCCAAAGAGGTACAGACAACTACCTATCTGCGCCTCTAGTGCTCTTGCCTTCTCCTGGTCCAACAGGTCCTGACGCTGCTCACTGCCGAGCCTCGACCAGGTATTGACTCCTAGCTCGTTTGATTCGTTTCATAGTCTCTTCTGCATTTCGGCAGCGACACCGGATCCGCAATCAAGATCGCGCGGTATCACTTTGGTGGGCAGGGTCTCTAAAAGGGGTGCCTGGTTGCACGCGTGTATGTGTGTGGGGGGGGTGGGGGGGCAGACACAATTTTGCTGCCGGGGCCTCCGCCTCTGGCCTCGAAAAAGTCGGCTCTTCCGCCAAGAGAGGTACATTGCGTATTTGTGTGCACAAAGGAAAGGGAACTCTCACTCTCCGCGACATTTGTTGCCATGCAGAAAGACATCTTCGCTGCAATCCGTGACAATGACGTCGATTCGGTCAAGCACTTCATCGACGAGAGTGAGACTGCTGACATCCTCGAATCCCACTCAAAGGACATCGTACGCAAATCAGGAGACATGGTCCAATTATAATTGGTTGCTGTATTTCACATAGGAGGGCCACACGTCGTTCACTCAGGCAGCTGCATTGGGACGGCTGACGATTCTTGAGATGCTCTACCTCTACACGAAGGCTCAGCCTGGGGGCCACAAAGCACTTTTGAAGAGGCCGAATCGCCTGGGCTACACTCCGATGGCTGCAGCTGCTGCATCCGGGCACCAGGGAACGTGCAAAAGGCTGCTGGATTGGGGTGATACTTCCCTTCTCAATGATATTGACGAGGTACCTCCATCTGTGATACAACAGACCATCGATCAGATCCAACTCTCATCCATCGTGTAATATCCTGCCTGTCCAGAACGGACAAACTCCCTTGTTTCGGGCGGCAAGTGCCAATCACAGCGCTCTGGTGACGTGGATGGCCGAGAAAGGCGACAGGGCGTTGCTCGAGAAGCGAGACAAGGATCAAAATCTTGCACTCCATGTCGCTGCAAAAAACGGAAGCCTGCAAGCATTTCAGGCACTCAGCGTCGCAATGCTGCAGCGGATCCCAAAATGGACTTGGCTCTTTTTGATGGAGCAGATTGGCGAGGTGAGCTAACTGCATACTAACGAGGGAGACACAATCATGAAGAGACATCGGCATGTTTGCAGAATGCAAAGAACGTCATGCATCTCGCCGCCGGACTAGGGGAGCATTCTGCCAGCAAGGATCACCCGCTCATCATCAGGCATCTGCTTGAGAATGGAGCCACATCACTTCTAAAGATGAAGGATCGGGTCGGTGAAGTGAGGAGAGGGGATCTATGTCACGCGTGTCTCTATGTTCTCCGTGTCTCTTGCTTCGGCAAGCAGTCTGGTGACACGCCCCTGCACGTCGCAATTGAAGCGATGAGCAAGAGCAAAAGGCTTTCGGCCCCGAGTCTTGTAAATGAGGCGGTGATCATGATGGTGAAGGAATTCAAAGATAGAAAGGGGCTGTCGCAATTATACAACGACGTGAGCCCAGAATGTGCCTTTGCCGCTTTTGAATATTTGATGACTTGTTTATGTCACGCAGGAAGGTAAGACGCCCTTCCATCTCGCCGTCGAGGCCGGTGATGTCGATTTGATGGAGGCAATCTACAAGAAGTGCGGAAAGGGAATTGAAGCAATTGGCGGCATCGTAAGTCAACTGCTGGCTGTCGCACATGTTCATTTTCTTGTCTCCTGTCTGGCGGTCAGAACAAGTTGCTGAATGTAAGGCCGATGCACATTGCGGCTTCGTGCGGTCACATTGATGCCGTCAAGAGGCTCCTTGACTGGGGCGGTGCGTCACTGTTAGCCATCAAAAACGAGGATGTGAGGACACCCACCCGGCTTCAGATTCATCTGTTGGCCGCTCATCTGATGTCGATAGGGCAAGACCCCAAAGGACGTGGGAACACCTGAGGTGAGGGCGCTAATGGAAGAATACACAGGGCGTCAGGCACCCGGGCCCGCCGATGACGGTAAGGGCAGTGGCGGAGGCTTCACTATTCCTTCCACCAGCGGCGATGGGCGGACAGAAGAGCCTGTGGCAGGTAACAACGTGTCCAATGGCATGTTCATTCATTCATTCATTCATCCATGTCTTTCCTATCTCTCCATGCAGCCCCTGTCTTGCCCGCCAGTAAACCTATCACGTTCCCTCCTGGTCACTCGCCTCACAGCATGGCCAGTACAATCACCGGGCCGTCGAGCACTGGATCTCCGCAACAAGCAGGTCTGCGTGCCGGCCGCGGAGATGAGGTTTAAGTAGACGTGATGTGTGCGGAGCCGCAACACCCAGCATCGCGTCTCGTGACCTGTCTGTTGCAGTTTCTCCTGCCAAGCCGGCACCAGGGCTGGAGCCCCAAGCTGCAGCCACTCGGCGACAGAGCAAATGGGTGAGGCAACTCTTGAGGAGAAATCACGCCAGAACGTCTCAGAAACCCGCAATCTCAGAAACTCTGCTCGACTCTGCCGATCCCTACAGAGCGGCGTGTTATTCGACAGTGTTATTTCTGGAGACCTGCACTCCATTGCTGAGCTGCTCGAGATCCATGGGAAGGAGGTGCTTGATGAACGAGACACTCTCGGGGTAAAGATAGAGAACACGTGAATGGACATAGAATTGCCCCCTTCCTGTGCTTCAGTACACCCCTTTCCTAGTCGCTGTAGTGGCCGGCAACGTGGACATGATGGAGCTAATGTTCAGCCAGTACGGTTTGGGGATTCTGCGGCAGACGGACAGGGTGTGTACACCACATAAGTTGCACAAAAGGTCCTCAAACGTCTCTCGGTGGGTTTTGAGGTGTTCGACAGTTTTCCAGCACTGCCATGCACCTGGCCGCCATGACAGGCAATGCTGCGGTAATCAATCAGCTGCTGGAGTGGACAGGCCCTGATTCAGGTATGCTCGGTGCACGTGCCAAGGTAGCACGCAGCAACATCTAACATCTGCATCTCTCCACTACTTGTGTCTATTGCAATGCTTCAGGTTGATGAAACGCCATTCATGTGGGCAGCCAAGAACGGTCACGTCGACGTGCTTCGGGCCATGTTTGCCACGAAGGGGAAGCATCTTCTCGCACAACACGATATTGTGAGCAGCAGAGGAAGGCTGAAAGAGCTCTGCCGCATCTCTGTTGCCTATGTGTTGCGAATGCAGATTGGCAGATCGCCGATTGACTACGCTGTCGGGACGAATCAGCTTGCAGCCGTAGATCAATTGGTCAAGTGGGCCGATGGCAGGCACCAGCATTAGATGCATAAAAACGATGTGTGTCTCCGTCTGTCGGCCTTTGAGTCTTCGTCTTTGTGTCTGCGAACAAAAGAAATCGTGTCGTATGGACGGATGCTCAATGAGAATGAGGGCTACAGGCCCTTGACCTTCCTCACCGACCTCGCCAAAACAGGTTTTTACATACAGGTTCTTGGGGGGTGCGGGTGCCAACCATAGTCACTGATTTCTCAAACTGCACTTGCATACATCCCTCCACCCATGGAAGAGGGTTGGCACACAACCTCACACAAACGCGCGAAATCAATGAATGGGTGTGGGTGTGTGTGGGTGGCATTTGTTGGGCAAGGACCGAGGCTTGCATTTCTGCTGCACATTTGGGTGGGGATGGGGATGTGTGTCTTGCTCATCATGCATTACCACATGAATGGATGGATGGGCCGATGGGTCGGCGGACGCACATACGCACATACACGCACTGTCTGTCTGTCTGTCTGTCTGTTTCGTTGCGTGAACAAACTCTCTCACCCAGCTAGGCGGGACAAATAATGTCGTCATGCCTGATCCTCATAACGAAATTCTCTCTCTCTCTTTGCTGCCGTCCTTCCTGTGTGTGCGTCTGTTAGTCAGTCAGTCAGTCAGTTTGTCTCATGCTGCCTCTTCATTCAAACGCTCTCACAATCCAGCGAGAAGCTGCCGTGAAGATGACATATGCACCCTTCCCTCGCACTTCCCTCTTCCGTCTCCATACTGGCCGTACTGGCCGGCGGCGGCCGCCCCCTGACCCCACTCACTGTCTCGCCTGTGAGTCCATCGTCGGTATCCCTCTGACGGCTGGGCGCCAATCAATGCATCAGCTGTTGCAGGAACGGTTGACCAGCACGGGTGTGTGCTGTCGCTGCTGTGACAACGCGCTGCTGGGCGACAGATGGCTGCTTCCCCGCTGACCCTTGGCGAGAGACAAGGGCAGAGGGAGCGTCGAGGCGGCCTGACAGCTCCCTCTCAAAATCATGCGCACACACACAAACGGACGGACCCATGCATGTGCCCGCCCACGTACTGCACGCTCAATGAAGCGGACGGACACGGGGCGCGAGGCTCTACTCACTTTTGTTCAGCTCAGCATGCAGGCTTATTCTGATGGTTCTGGAGTGAGCGATGGTGGCAGATGTTGAAGTAACTTCACACAGCGTTGGCAGCTCTCGTGCGAGTGTTGCTTGGCGGGCTGGCCATGCCCATGATGGACCTGTGCGTTGCGTGCCTTGCGTGAAGGCTTTTACGGCAGAGATCTCTTGCCCCTCCCTCCCCTTCCTATCAGCCACGCCCAGCTCCTTTTCTCACCGGATCTGACGTCGTTGCTTGCTCAGATGTCTTGCCTGCTGCCACTGGTTCAGACGCTGCAATGCGGTCTTGAAGCTGTTGCAGGCCAGTCTTGATGGCCCTCACTGACCGCGGCGTCAGCACGCCGTCAACGCGTTCTTCCGCCCGCCAGGATGACCTCTATATCCATCAGCTTGAGGAACCCGCCCGAACCCATGACGGGGCTGTCGAACTGCGGCACAAGCGCTTGGATCTCACGCACCAGGTGAATCAGCCTATTGTAAGCCGTCAAAAAGGCGGTCCCCTGGCCCTCCTTCATCTGCGTGGGAGAGGTCTCCCCCGACATGGCCTAGTTCACACGCATTGTCCCGACGGACACACAGACAGCACACAAATTCACGCGTGAATTGCTGCCGGGGTGTAGTATGCACCATCCACCTGTATGCAGCAGCTCTGCTGGCGGCTTGAGGCTTCTCTCGGGTCGGAAGGTGTGTTGACGAATCAAGCAGGCAGGCGGTGTCGGTCGGTCGGTCGGTTATGGGTTTGACGAGCGCCTGGTGTGAGTCTGGTTGAACCTCTTCCCGAAAAACGCACTTCGCTGCCCAAAAGGGAGGGATGGTGCGTTTGTGCTAGGGTTGAGGAGCTCGTCCGCGAATTGGGCTAGTGAACACACAGTCGTGCCAACAGACAAAAATGGGCGTGATTTCTCGGCTGTTTCTCCTCCTTTTCGGATGAACGAGCGTGTATCGGACTACACCCAACCCCCTCCACCT